CATGTATACTGAGTTTTTCTTGTGGTTGGGGGGCACTAAAATACCTCTTGTCAGAAGAAATTGTATTTCCATATTTTTGTTTCTTAATCCTGGAAGATAAAAAAAGAATGTGTCCTGTGCACTGGTTAAACCAACCTGGGATGGGTAACAATGCACCTGGCACTCCTAGGTAATCATCTGTCTCTATGAGATATGTTCATGCTAAATTCTCCCCTAGGTATTTTGAACCACATGTGTGAGACAGCCTTAAAAACTAAATCAAGCTTCCTGTCACCCATCCTGGGTGCCAACAGCACTCTCATTAAACAAAATCCCAGGACCCTCAGGACAATTAGTGTCCTTTTCCCTTTTCAGTAGTAGGAAGAGAAGCCAGAGGACAGAGCGAAGGAATATAAGCAGACTCAATTAAACTTGGTCACAAGCAAATGTCTGTGTCCTGGGTTCATTCAAACTGCAGAGCAGGGAAATCCTTACCCCATGGTGGCTGTGAAGGTGGTTGAAGTTCTCTGGACTTTCACCAGGACAGGACTCTTCAGGATCCTTTCTTGATGCTCTGCTCTGTTGTGGACTTTCACCCCCACTGAACTCTCGGCTAGGCTGTGCTAGGCAACAGCTCTGTGGGCTGTCCTCCAGTGCTCCAGCCTCCAGCAGGAAACTGAAACTGAAGGTGGAAAGTGAAACTAAAGCCTGTGGCTTTCCCCCTGCAGGGAAGCTCAAAGCAAGCAGGGATTGGACTTCTTGCTCTCTCCCCTGAACCAATGGGGAGAAGGCTCTGGAATAGACTGCCTGCAGTCAACAGTCCATGACCAGTAGGTAACAACTACATTTTTAATTATTTTTTAAATGATTCTTTGATGTTGAATCCAGTATCTATGAAAACCTCAACGTTACCCCAGAGTTCTGGATTTTGATAGCTACTTAAACGCTCAATATGTTTGATGGAGAGGAGAAAGAGTTTGCTGTTAATTCAGAGGTGTTTAGTCCATGACATTTCCAGAGTGAGCAGCCTGTCTGCAATAGACACGAGCAGAAGCTCAGGCATAAAGTGGCCTGAGTGAGGCCAGAGGCGCATGGCTGATGAGAGCAGAGAGAAGGGCAAGTCTGCTCCACCCTGCAGCCACACCCCCTTTCCATCAGCTAGGGTGCAAGCTCAGCAGACAGAGCCTCACACGCTCTTGTGTCTGTTTTGCTTGGCAAAGAGTTGGATCATTATATTATTTGAAGGTAGCATACATTGTTATGAGCTTTGGCCGGGATATAGACGTTCTTCTCTGAGGAATCCCAGTGAGTTGATAAGCTAGAATCTTTATCTCTGAAACCCCAAATGTTAGGAAAAGCCTCTAGAGAAGCCAAGATTGGTTAGGTGGTGCCCACACCTGTCCACTCCTGTCTACTTGCTGTTTTGTTTTTAAACCTCAGTGTTTTTTTTTTAAATTTATTTTTTATTATGTGTACATGTGTGTCTGTGCATGTGTCACATATGTGTGAGGCCAGATTAAGGGAGCCAGATGTCCAGGATCTGGAGTTCCAGGCTGTGAGCTGCCCAGTTTGGGTGCTGAGACCTGAATTCCCGTCTTCTGAAAGAGCAGCAAGTGCTCTTAACCACAGAGTCCTCCAATCTTCCTTCCTTCCTTCCTTCCTTCCTTCCTTCCTTCCTTCCTTCCTTCCTTCCTTCTTCCTCCTCCCTTCTTCCTTCCCTCCCTCCCTCTTTCCTTTCTTCTGTTCTTCTACCCCCTACTTCTCCCAGTATTCCTCTCCCCCTCCTCCTTCTTTTCTCCCCCTCTTCTTCCTTTTCTCCTCCTCCTCCTCCTCCTCCTCCTCCTCCTCCTCCTCCTCCTCCTCCTCCTCTTCTTTTTCTTTTTGAGACAGGTTTCTTTGTGTAGCCTTGGTTGCCTTGAATCTCACTTTGTAGATGAGGCTGGCCTCTAACTCAGAGGTTTACCTGTTTCTGCATCCCAAGTACAGGCATTAAAGGCATGCACTACTACTGCTGGTCCTCCTATAGTCTCTCCACTCCCCTAATGATAGACAATTAAGTTGACCTCATTTCTTGGTTCTAGTGACCAGTGTTGCCTTTAGCATGGGAGGACAGAGGTTTCTTTTTACCGGGAAAAAAGAAAGAAAGAAAGAAAGATATATTAGGACCAGCAGTAGTTTGGAATTCCTCAGGAACTTGTGATACCAGTGCCTATCTGCCAAAAAGCAGTCATTTCCCTCACCTGATAGGAGGGGCATATGGCTACCCATGGCACCATCAGCGTATCAAAGCTCATGCTGGTCTCTAAAAACCATCACTATCACAGTTATCACCTGTTATAAATTTCAAAGTTCGTGCGAACATCCTTGCCTTTCTCATCCTTCTTCTACTCTAAACTCCTTCCACCTGACAGGCTTCCCTCCTGACAGCTACTCATCCTTCTTATAACCTGGCTATTGCCATTATTCTCTGCTCGACTCGTCTCACTGTACTCATCTGTCTGTCTGTCTGTCTGTCTATCTATCTATCTATCTATCTATCTATCTATCTATCTATCTACCTACCTACCTACCTCTAACTCTTGCCATCTGCTCTCTCTCTCTTATTCCCTTACTCTCTATTGCTTCCTTTACTATGTTATATCTTGATGTCTCCACTATTATTTCCTGTTCTCCCATTTCCATGGTGCTGGTCATGGGCAGTCTTTTCCCTTCTCTCTGTTTTCTAGATTCTTCTCTCACTTTCTCTTTTTCCCCAAAACACACTTTTTTTTTTATTTTTGAAAAAGAAGACCCTTAGTCCTTTCATCTTTTCTCTCAGAGTGCCATGGAGTGGGTAATGCATAATGAAGAGAAGTTTGCTTCCCCACAGTTAAGAAGCCAGGATGTAGGAGATGAGGGAGTGCCAATTGCTTTCCTGGTGGGTAATCTCAAGGTGGAAAAGCAAAGAGGATGAAAGAGCCAGAAAGAAGCAACTGCTCTCCTAGGGAGACCTGCTGCCATGGTAACAGTATTGGTCCATTCATGCTGGGTCATTGGCTCCTATGACTCAGCATCCTACCACCCACCAGATGCCCCATTCACTACATTGGCACATGGGGATCAAGTTTCTCACAGGAACTTCAGGGGATACATTTGAACCACAGCAAAAGAAATAATGCTGAGTTTATTTCTGTGTTAGTTAAATTTTTGTAATTATAACAAAATACCTGAGGCAACTAACATAAAAAGAGAAAAGATTTATCTTGGCTCACAGTGTTAGAGGTTTCTGTACTTGGTCACTTGGGCCTACAGCAAGCACATTACAATGGAGAGAACAGGGCAGAGGAAGCTCCTGTCACGTGGTGACCAGGACCTAAGGAATGAGACAGGAAGAGGCTAGTTCCTCCAAATCCCTTTCAGAGACATGCCATCAATGACCTAATTACTTTCATTTTATCCATTAGTACCATCAGCTGTCAACCAAGACTTTGGGACATGGACCTTCGGGAAAGACATTTAATCAAACTAAAGTACATGCTGATGAAGGAGACAGAGATGCCAAGCTGGTTCACTGCTACATTAACTGCTGAAGTTCATGCGGAAAATCACTTTAAACATTTTGATTTGTCAGCGAGGACAGAAGCAAGAATCTACTTTTAGTAGTGGGTCTTGGTGTGACCCAGAAAACACGTCGGGAAATTGTGTTATGACCTTTTGACCTATGGGTCTGTATATTCTGTAATTCTTCTCTTTTCAAGAGTAGTATATGGGCCAGAGTTTCCCAAAGGGTTTATTCTATGGGATGTATTAGATGGTCCTGTATAATCAGAGGTCGTATAGTCCCAGAGTATCCTTCTGTGGAGAGTCCAGAAAGCCAGTGGCGGCTCAGGCCAAGTTGCTGAATGCCTGAGAAAAAGAGGGACCGGTGATGACACCCCATTCAAAGACTGAGGCCTGAAAGGCACTTGGATCATTCCTGGTGGAAGTCAGTGTTCAAAGTTTCAAAAACAAGAGTCTTCATGTGAGTCTTTATGGAGTGTTCTTGGGAGAGGGCACTTTACAAACATTCAAGTGGTCACATAGGGTTCATCATGAGTACTCATGCCAGCTTCCCCACTTCTGCCATGTTACTGACATTCGGGTTAGGCCTTCTCCATCTTGTTTGCTTTCTCATTTGCCAGTGTCTCTGGAAACACTTCCACAGACAGAGGCAGACCTGTGCTTTACCAAGACTAGCAGATAGCCAAGATTAACGAACACAAGCATAAATAAGGAAAAGGCAAGGCCAGCACATTTCTCTTTCATCACAGATGAGAGCTGCTGAACACCTGGGTATGCACACGCTGCCCCAGAAGGCGGGTCCCAAGGGAGCCAGGGCTGCATAGAGTGCCCTAAACATGATTTGCCTCTAGATTGTTAGTGATCATGACAGGTCATGGAATGTCAGACTATTTTGGGCTCTGGAAAAAGCAAATATCCAAAGTTTGTGCCTTCTCGTTTCCAGATAATGATTTTGGTTACTAATTACACTAGTTCCTAGGTGCCAGGCATGATTCTGGAACATTTCACTCATTCACCCACTTCATCCTCCCATCACCATGGTGATCTGGTAACAGTATTGTTTCCAGTTCAGAACAGAAGAAACTAAAGCCTCTAGAGGCAGGGGGTCACTTTCCTCAGGGAGCCACAGCCTAGAAATGCAGGTAGGTGGCTATCAGAATGTGTGTCCATTCATTCAACATCCGCATTTCAAGTCTCCGCCAGGCCACGGAGTGTGCCCTTATCCTTGAAGGAAAGGAGCTTAGTGAATGAAGCAGAGAAAAATCTTTGCTCCTGGGGAATAGAAACTGCTCCCTACAGTGGCCTGTGGGTCATAGGGGTGAGGAGAGTGAGGCCAGATGCTGTGGTAAAGGTTTTCTTCTCCAGGTTGATTACCCTCTCTGTTGCAAATCTAAGACATCAATACTTTCTGACTCACAGCACAAAGCTGGTCCCTGAAAGGCTTGGCTTTCTTTCAACTCATTTGTACACAAATGGTGGTGATATCCGTTTTACTTTCTGGTTTCTATTTCTCTTCTGTGGGGCCAGCTGCAGAGAAACAGGAAAGGAAATCAGCTGCTGGTGATATATAAGGGTCTGTAGCTCTTCCTTAGGAGTCGGAGGACGAGATTGTCTGCAGCTGCCTGCAGCCGCTCTGAGCCCTTCAACACAGCTGAGAGGCACAGCAACCATGAGGTATGCCCTCCCTTTCTCTGCTGGTGAGGAGAATGCAGTCAGCCTTGATGACAGATGCAAATCCTAAGCAGCCAAGGTCCCAAGAGAGGCCAGTCCTGATTTTACCTTTCATACCTCTGTCTCTACAGCTGTCAATCTGTCATAGAGATGCCCTGTGGCTTCCTCCAGATCTGCTTATCTACCTGACATCAGAGAGGGTTGTTTGATTCTCACAGGGACTTCTTATAAAGATAGATCTGGGAGAATTGTTCTTGTGAATTCTCTCTCTCTCTCTCTCTCTCTCTCTCTCTCTCTCTCTCTCTCTCTCTCTCTCCCTCCCTCCCTCTCTCTGCACCGCCATTGCAAAATTAAATTGAGAGTATCTAATATGAATATTATATAACAGTGTTCTTTTTTTATTTCTTTATTGTTAAAGATGTACTTAGACTACTAACACTGCTTCCCCCTCTCCTGAATTTTACTTGTAATTGCTGGATTAATCTCAGAATGCAGAAGGGTTGCAAACTAAACAGAGCATAGGAAGGAAGGAGCTCCCCTCACTCATTGCCTCTCAGCTCTGTCTCCTGTCTGGTAGCACAGAGGTGCAGTACCATCAAACACAATCCTTGTCACTCTACGTGGCTTTCCAGCTATCAATTGTTCAAGTCAGAAACTGTAGTATTTCAATACATAGCTGGTTTACAGACAGCATGGAAAATGTAAGTGAGAATACACAACATTCCAGAGGCTTCTTTGCTGGGTTAGTTTGTTTCCTGCTCATTGCTTTTTCTGTCTCTGGGTAAGACTGAAGGGAATCTTAAAAGATGAAAAAATCTTTAAGAGTCACAATGGTACCCTGAGGGGGAAAAGGAGCTAAATGCCAGTAAGCCTCTCCTGCAGCCACACATCCTATCCTTGGTATAAACTATAAATCTGAGAGAATAAAATTCAAAGGGAAATTAAACAAGAATGTGAAAGTATTAGTAAGCTATCAAAATGAACCATCACCAATGTAAGAAGAAGAATCAGGGAAGGACATGGAGACTACATTTCATTCTGAAATAAAGGTTTGAGGCATTGCTAGCATATATAATACAATTATTAGATGAAATATCCCAATGATGGTAAAATGTGTGAAATTCAAGAATGATTGGAAATAAGATATAAGTAGTTCGAATGAGCAGATGCCCAAAGGGACTTTAATCTTATTACAGATCATCCGTGTTTATTGCAAACTAAGATTTTTTTTCCTTCATGAAACAAGGAAATGGAATCAACCTAGGTGTCCAACAATGATAAATAAATAATAAAGATGTGGTACATGCAATGGAATTTTATTCTGCCATTTAAAAAATAATTAAGGACTAGCCTCTCCTAGGGATGAGCTACGTACCTGGTTACTTAGTGTTCAGCCCCTAAACACATACACACAAACAGCCAAAGATGGACTTAGCAGATTGTATTTGTAGTTTTTTGCATATGTATCCAAAAATATGCAAAATGCTCCAAGAAAAAGAGGCTATTAATTTCAGAGTGGAGAGCACGGGAGTAGTTTGAGGGAGGAGACAAATGAAACTGGAGGAAAAGCAGGGAAAGAGGGAAGTGACACCGTTATATTTTAATTAGAATGTGTTTTTAAAGAACAAAATGAAATTATGCAATCCGAAGGAAAATGGACAGAACTAGAAAATATTAAGTAAGAAAATCCAGACTCAGAATGGCGAACACTGATTGTTCTAATCTGTGAATCTTAGCTTTACATGTGTGTAATTATATGAATGTGTGTAGATGTCAGGGAACTAGAAATGGAATCAGCATCAGAAGAAAACAGAAAAGAGACATTAAAAGAGAAGAGATCAGAGGGAGGGTACCAGAGCACACATCATATAAAAAAGAGGGGGAAGGAGGAGGTCACCAGAGCACATATGATATAAAAGAGAAGGGCATGGGGAGGGAGGCGCCAGGGTGCATGTGACATAAAGTGAAAGTGGGAACACTGCACATGAGAGAGGAATGAGGGCAACAAAACAGAGAGAGAAGAGGGCAGGGGAAGGGGCACCCAATGCAAAGTACAAGATGCAAAAAAAAAAAATTAAAAACAAAGATAGTAACTATCTCTTAATAATAAATATTTTACAGAGTAATCCAACAGCAGAAGAGAGCAAAAATGTTTAAATAAAAGACACAACTAATGTGATCAAATTTCAAGATGCTAGACTAGAAAGCACATTAAAGATATAATAAAAATTGGACTGGGGATGGAGAGACAGATTGGCTATTACAAACAAATACTGCCCTTCTAGAGGAGTAGAGTTCTGTTCCCTGAACCCGTATCAGATGACCCACAACTAACTGTAGTTCCAATTCCAGTGGATACAGTTTCCTCTGCTGGCCTCTGTGTACACCACATTTTCTTGCTCATACCCTTACATAGACATATACACATACTTTTTAAAAATCTTGTAGTTAATGAAAAGAAACAGATGAGTCCCACCATCCCTACTCTTTGCTTCCTGATTCCCTGAGGATTGAGGAAATTCAGTTAGATGCTTCTGCTGCCATGAAATCTGCCAATCCTTCTCTGTCAAGATGGTCAGAGAACCCCTTTAAATCATAAATCAAAATACATTTTTCTTCCTTAAAAATACTTAAAATTTAGAATAATGAGAAGTAGAAAGCAATTGGCTTTTAAAAGATAAATGAAGGAGCTAAAGTGGATTTGAACTTCTAAGATAACAAAAAATTTTAACTCAGCTCTGTGAATGTCAATAGAATACAAACATGTAGTTAAGATTTTCAAATTTCAATAGTAAATAAGAGATTAAGTATAAAGAAGTAATGATTTTTATTTTTTTTAAACTTAACTTTACATTCCAACCACAGTTCTCCCTCCCATCCTTCCTCCTGTGCTCTCTCACCTCCTTCCAGCCTTTCTCCCCATGCACTCCTCCCAATGGTAAAGATTTCCATGAAGAGTCAAAAACGTCTGGTACATTGAGACAGGGTAAGACCAAGCCCATCCCCCCCCCCTGCATTAAAGCTGGGCACAATAGGGAATGGGCTCCAACAAGCTAGCTCATGCACCAGGGATAGACCCTGGTCCTACTGCCAGAGGCCTTTCAGATAGTCCAAGTTTAACCACTGTCTCCCACAAATGGAGGGCCTAGTTTGGTCCCAGGGAGTCTCCACAGCTGTCAATCTAGAGTTTATGAGTTTCCACAAGCTTGATTTAGCTGTCTCTGTAGATTTCTCCATCATGATCTTGACTTCCCTTGCTCATATATTTCCTCATCCCTCTCTTTGATTGGATTCCTGGAGCTCAACCTGGGGCTTAGTTGTGGATCTAGTTCCATCAGTTACTGGATGAAGGCTCTATGATGGTATAGGCATATTCACCAGTCTGATTAGAGGTAAAGTCCAGTTCAGGCACCCTCTCCACTATCGCTTAGAGTATTAGCTGGAGTCATTCTTGTGGATTCTTGGGATGTTCCTTAGTACCAGGTTTCTCCCTTACCCCATAGTGGCTCTGTCTATCAAGATCTCTTTTTCATTGCTCTCCCATTCCAACCCTCTCTCCCCTCAACCCTCCCTCTTCCTCATGTTCTCATCTCCCATCCCCTACATTTTATCACACCCCACCCCAAGTTCAACCAGGATATCTCGTCTAATTTCCCTTCCCAGGGAAATCCACGTGTACCTATTAGGGTCTTTCTTAATACCTAATTTCTCTGGAACTGAGGATTGTACTCTTTTATCCTTTGCTTTATGTCACAAATGAACTTATGAGTGAGTACATACTGTGTTTCTCTTTCTGAGCCTGGGTTACCTCATTCAGGATGTCTTTTTATAGTTCTATTCACTTGCCTGTCTAGTTCCATTTTATGATGTCATTATTTTTAACACTTGAGTAATACTCCATTGTGTAAATGCACCACATTTTCTTTATCCATTCTTCAGTTGAGGGGTATCTAGGTTGTTTCCAGGCTCTGGCTATTACAAATAATGTTGCTATGAACTTTGTTGAGCAAGTATCCTTGTGGTATGATTGAGTATCTTATGCCCAGAAGTGGTATCACTGAGTCTTGAGGTAGACTGATTCCAATTTTCTGAGAAACTGGCATACTGATTTCCAAAGTAACTGTACAAGTTTACACTTCCACCAGCAATAGTAGAGTGTTCCTATCACTCCAAATCCTCTCCAACATAAGCTGTCCTCAGTATTTTTTATCTTAGCCATTCTGATAGGTATAAGACAGTATCTCAGAATCATTTTGATTTGTATTTCCCTGATGGCTAAAGATGTTGTGCAATATTTTTCTGCCATTTGAGATTCTTCTGCTGAGAATTCTGTTCAGTTCTGTACCCCATTGTTGTAAAGAGAGCCGCTTGTTTGTTCCCAACTGCTCAGCCCTGAAATAATCACACAGAAACTGTATTATTTAAATCACTGCTTGGCCCATTAGCTCTAATTTCTTATTGACTAACTCTTACATACTAATTCAACCCATTTCTATTAGTCTATGTTTTGCCACGAGACTGTGGCTTACCAGGTTAAGTTCCGGCATCTATCTCTGGTAGGGCTCCATGGCTTCTCTTTGACTCTACCTCCTTTCTCCCAGCATTCAGTTTAGTTTTCCCCACCTCACTCTGTTCTACCCTATCAGGCCAAGCCAGTTTCTTTATTCATTAGCCAATAAAAGCAACACATATACAGAAGGGCTTCCTATATCACCCCATTTTTAAAATTGAATTATTTTCTATTTTGATATCTAGTTTCTTGAGTTCTTTTTGTAGTTTGGAGATCAGCCCTCTGTTAGATGTGGAGTTGATGAAGATCTTTTCCCATTCTATGGGCTGGCCTACTGTCTTATTTACCATGTCTTTTGCCTTATAGAAGACTTTCAGTTTCAGTAAGTCCTATTTATTGACTTTTGCTCTCTGTGTCTGTGCTACTGATGTTTTGTTTAGGGAGTAGTCTCCTGTGTCAATGAGTTCAAGGCTACTTCCCACTTCTTCTATCAGGTTCAATGTAACTGGATTTTTGTTGAGGTTCTTGATCCATTTGGACTTGAGTTTTGTCCATGGCAATAGATATGGATGTATTTGCAATCTAATATATATTGACATCCAATTAGACCAGCATTATTTGTTAAAGATGCTTTCCTTTTTTCATTGTACTATATTTACTTCTTTGTCAGCAATCAGGTGCTCGTAGGTGTGTAGATTAATGTCAGGGTCTTTGATTCAATTCCATTATTCCACATGTCTGCTTTTATGCCAATACCAAGCTGTTTTTATTACTATAGCTCTATAGTAGAGTTTGAAGTCAGGAATGGTGATGCCTCTGGATGAACCATTCTTGTACAGGATTGTTGAAACTATTCTGGGTTTTCTGTTTTTCCATATGAAGTCGAGTACTGTTCTTTCAAGGTCTGTGAAGAATTGTGGTGTGATTTTGTAAGAAGAAATTCAGTTCCTATCTCTAAATACAAAGCTCCAGGAATAACACTGAAGCTGTACTGTGGTTCACAGACCCTCCAACACAAAGGCAGGAACTAGCTAATAGAAACAGTCTTTCTAGGAAACCCAAACACCATCTAGGACTGACTCACTTCCTTCTGTCAGGTTTTTTTCTGCCTAAAATTAGCAAACTCTTACTTCCTTATGCAGTAATTCAGACATATGACAAATATTGAAATAAAGGAAAGGAAAGCATGTGCCTTGATCAGGTTTGGATGAACTCTCTTTAGAAGGAAAGGAATATTCACTGAGATCCCACTCCTTGACAGGTGAATGTGTGGTGTCTCCCAAATGACTGTTTCTTTTTTTTTCTGTCCCACAGCACAACCATAGAGAAATCCTTGGAGAGCAGGCTCCAGCAGCTAAAATGCCATTTCACCTGGAACTTAATAACGAAAGATGAGTCCTTGGATGAGTTTGAGGACAGGGTGTTTAACAAGGACGAATTTCAGAACAGTGAGTGTAAAGCCACGATGTGCAACATCCAGGCCTATGTCAACCACCTCAGAGGCCAAAACGAGGCAGCGCTGAACTGTTTAGAGGATGCTGAACGTTTCATTCAGCAACAGCATCCTGACCAAGTAGAAACCAGAAGTCTGGTCACCTGGGGAAACTACGCTTGGGTTTACTATCACATGGGCCAACTCTCAAAAGCACAGGCTTATCTCGACAAGGTGAGAGGGGTCTGTGAGAAGTTATCCAGTCCCTATAGGATCGAGAGTCCTGAGCTTGACTGTGAGGAAGGGTGGGCCCGATTAAAGTGCACCCAGAACCGAAATGAGAGAGTGAAGGTGTGTTTTGAGAAGGCTCTGGAAAAGGACCCGAAGAACCCAGAATTCACCTCTGGATGGGCCATTGCATGCTACCGTCTGAACTACTGGCCAGCACGGCAGGACTCCATTGATTCTCTGAAGGGAGCTCTTAGACTTTCTCCCAACAACTCTTATCTTAAAGTCCTCTTGGCACTGAAGCTTGAGACGGTAGATGAAAACCAAGCATGTGAACTAGTGGAAGAAGCCATAAGGAAAGCCCCAGGTGCGACAGATGTGCTGCTCAGTGCAGCCAAGTTTTATTACAAGACACATGACGCAGACAGAGCTATAGAGCTGCTTACAAAGGCTTTAGAATACCTGCCAAACAATGCCTATGCACATTACCATATTGGGTGCTGCTACAGGTCAAAAGTGCTTGGAATGGTTCATACAAGAGTGACTGCATTCAATGGGAATCAAACAAGGTTTCAGGAACTAATACAACTGGCAATTAACCACTTAAGGAAAGCAGAGGAGATCAAGGAATTTCTCGAACATTCCTGTAGCTACCTTGCTGGACTTTATGCCATGGCAAACCAGTATAAAGAAGCCGATTATTACTTCCAGAAAGAACTCAAGAATGTTCTCACACCAAGCAACAAACAGTTGCTCCACCTACAGTACGGCAATTTCCAGTTGTTTCAAATGAAGTGTGAAGACGAGGCCATCCATCATTTTATGGAGGGTGTGAAAATAAGGCGGGAGACGAAGCCTAAAGGAAAGATGATAAACAAACTTCAAAGAATTGCCCTAAGGCGACTTTCTGAAAATGAATTTGATTCTGAGGCCTTGTACATCTTGGTGTTTCTTCGGGAGTTGAATGAAGAAGGCGAGCAAGCAGCTAAAGAAGCTGAGAGGGTGCTGGATGCTGAGAAGGCTGCTCCTTCAGCATCTTTGCATGAGGATGCGGATGAGTAGGGGTGACAGGGTGTCTGCAGTGTTACTGATGGTAAAAAAATGAAATCCTTACCAAGTTGCTATTCAATGTATTTAACAACTTCATGGACAGGAACCCTTCTATCAAATGTTAGCTACTGAATTGCTGGATCAGAGAGCTTTGAGAGAGGAACCAGTTGGAGCCATAGACACAAGAGCCTGGCAAACAGCCTAGATTCCTTTTTATTTCTTAGAGATAGTTCCCATGGTAGCAATTCTTTAATCACCCTCTTTGGATGCTTCTCTTGGGTTTGTTTCTGTAATTATTTAAAGCAGCCAAATTCCTCAAATGGGCGAGTTTTCCATTCTTGAGTTATTTTAGCGATTGCACAGCCTTGTTCTACATAGATAACAGTGCCCATCAAAAAACTCAGGAGCCAGGGGCAGTTGCTCAAAACCATAATCTCAGCACTTGGAAGCTGAGACAGAAGGATTACCATGAGTTTGAAGTCAGTCTGAGCATGACCTGGAAAGGGTGGTGGAGGGTGGTGAGAATTATCCATGTAACTATTTAATGATTATGTACATTATCTTGTTAGTTTGGATTGTATATGCCTGTATAGCCACTGTCAGCACACATTTCTAAAGCACGGAAGCTAGGGATTTTGTTTACTATATAATTTCAAAGCTCACAAAATAGTGCTCAATATTAGTTATGCTCAAAATAGAAACTGAATGGCGAGTTTCAGGTCTAAAAACAAACAAGAAACAGCAAAGGCTGACAGACAAAATCCTTCCTCCAATTTACCAGCCAGTCATCAATTTACAGTGTCCCATAAACATGAGTTTATTTGCAACATTAGCTCAGATGGCAACCTAATTGGAAAACTCAGAACAGAGAAAGTAAGAAGGGCCATATCTGTGCAAACCAATAGAGTCAGACGATTACATTGTCAGACTTGCGGGAGGAAGATGGGGAGACTTCTTCCCAACTCTGCTCTCCCTACGAGGGTGGAGCTACATGAAAATAAGGGGGGGTTCTGTCTACCATAGTGACAAGTGAAATAAATATTTATTTCAAACTTGAGTGGTAACTCCCGTGGAGACGAAGAGAATGTTGATTCATCCTTGACGATTATAAAGCCATGAAGAAACAGTTTATAGTCACTATTAGGAAGATGTCCCTGTCATATGAATACTTCCTTATTCAACAGTGCTATACTGAACCCGCATTAGAGATGCTAGGAGGACACTGGGTGGGAGAATAACTTGGTAACTGTGGCCTGGTGGTAGGAAATGGTAGGAGGGAGAATTCTTTCCTGCATTAGAAATGTTGCAAACCAAGGAATATAAAAACTTCTTTGAACTCTGAAAAATACTCAGGAACATCAGGAAACTGATGATGGGCATTTCCTCGGTAGATCTGGAATGGCCTAAACATTAAGGTTGATGTGCTGCAGCAGAGAGGCGATTGGCCCAACGTGAGGCTGACAACCGCCTCTGGGGTAGAAATGATTCTCTATTGGCATTAGTTTGCTTATAAGTATATATGAATATATTTCAGCAATCAAAATATATTAGATTAATAGTTGTTAAAACTGAACATTCTAACAGCTGTAACAATGTTCCCTGTTATTTTAACTCTTATAAGGCTTTGTATGCACTTAAGTTTATCAGTAGACAGCATTTGAATTTCTTTGTTAATAAATAACACACGATAGAACATTGAGCAGTGTTCTGGCTGAATAGAAATTTTACTGTACTCTCACTGTCTTAGACTTCAGTACTAATAATAAAGAGTGGCATCAATTATTTTGCAGCCTGAAGTGTCTGTTCTTTTTATATTTGATGTCTGATATCTGCACAGGGACACACTTGATCTTGACCTTTATCCTTGTTTCCCTTCCTGTTGCAGGGACAAAACACAGACTAAAACAACTTGAGGGTCTATATAGCTAACAAGTTACAGTCTATTGCTGAGGGAAGCCCAGACAGGAATTCAAGGCAAGAACCCAGTCAGAGACCCTGGATAGACTATAGGACATAGCTGGACCACATCTTCAGGAAATGGCATTCCTCTCCCTAAGGCTATACGAGGATGTGACAACTTATGAATCAGACATAAAACCTGTGATGCTGATATTTCTGGAGAGGGGAATGTGGGAAGGAACCCAGAAATGCCTGCACTCTTCCTCCATTTCTAGAGAGGAGCTAGGTCACATGACATTCCTAGGCCTCAGATACTTCTTCGAAGGAAAATAGCAGCATTCTGCCTGTACAACCTTGAACAGGCTGGAATGTGACTAAGGCTTCTGTGATGAAATGTAAACTTGTGTCTGTTAGCAAAGAAGCTGTAACAGTAAATGTGACCCTGGTAGTGCAGTTGGCACACGTGTGCCCTCCTGCCTTGGGTCCCTTGGCGTCCCATTTCACTCCTTCAGCATCAGTCAAGAGAGGTGATTTGGTCACTTTCTCACATCTTTTCTCATATATTCACCAAGGTAAGTGATAATCCCCAACAAAGCTGCCCTAAGTGCTAACAAGCAAGCCTGTAAAATGCTGGCACTCGACCTGCTCTTCATCTTGCTCCAACCCTACATAAGAACATTGTTTGACCACAAGCCTGCTTATGTATGTCTCTGGTCCCTGCTTGGGTTGGCACTCTGAGTGTCTTGGGTGTGTTTGTGTGAGTGAAGGAGCGAGAAAACGTCTGTCATCTCTAGCTTGCTTTCAAGTAATGACTTCCCGTGGTGAAAAGCCCCCTCTCAGCTTCTTCTTCTTGTCCCTTTTCTCTGACAGGGTCAGAGCCAGTTGACTGAGTCATGACTGCTTTCATTCCCCCCATCCCATCCCAGCTCCCTGACACTTCTCCCTTGCTGTGACAGACACCTGAGAGAAATCATGAAGGAGGGAGGGTGGATTTTGACTGATGGGCTCAGGTGTCAGCTGTGATTTGTTGGCTGTGTATTTTCTGGGATTGTGGCAGCAGAGAGACATGCTGAAGGGAACACTCATGTCGTGGAGTCCAGGAAGGCAGGAGTGAGGCGAAGGATGGCCTGAGACAAGGTAGCATCCCCAAGCACGTATTGTCCAGTGATCTACTTCATCCACAAGTTTCCACCACTTTCCACTGAGACCATCGTGTTAGGAAACACAGTGGTCAGAACTATCGGGAGCCTCCAAAGTGGGAGCCTTGCTTGAACATTCCATGTCCGAACCACATCAGTCCATGCCATGCCAGTAGACTCACACTATCTTCATCCAGTGAGCGCAGAAACCACAGGAGTGTTACAGTCCCATTGAGCCTTATTTTAGTTAGCATGGGTACCATCAGCTCGACACTAACCGGGGAATGGGGGTTCCAACTAAAGACTACATAACCTCGGCCCCCCCTTTCTCACAACATTACCCCATCACTTATCTCAGAGAAGGGACTTAGACTTAGCAAGTAAGAATTTTTTCTAATGATTTACAGTGTGGCTGACTCTTTGCTGATAATCTGCACTTTTGTAAAGGGGCAAGGAGGGGGCTACAGAGGAAACCTGACTGAGATTCTCAGGCTACAGGCAAAGGCAGTGGGTCTAACAGGAGAGCACTTAACCTCTTATGCAACTAGCAGTAGCAAGTTGCTAAGCAAAACAACCAACCAGAATCCCACAGCCATCTAAGTTCATGTCTGCTTCCTGGTACGTAGCTGCACTGTCAGAATTTGAACTCAGTTACTATTTCTGTATCTGTACTGACCTGCCCTTGGGGTCCTGACAGGAAACCTTTTCAGATGTAACTACTAAGAGCACCTCCTGAGCACATTCACTGTGTTCCCCTTTAAAAGGTGGGCCTTGCCCACCCTCATCTCTTTCTGTCTCTCCTTGTCTCTCCCTCTCTTTCTCTTCCTCTCTTTTCTCTCTGCTTCTCTGCCTGTCTCTGTCGTCCCTCTGTCTCTCTTTTCCTCTCTCTTCTGCTGTTCCTGTCTCCAGAGGTTAGTCATCCCCCTCCCTTTTTTCTCCCATTCCCTTTCCCCCAATAAAAAAAACTTCTCCTCATGAGCCCTGTTGCATGGTGTCTTACTCTCTCAGCCGCTTTTAAAACTACAACAATAAGTATCTGGTGGGACTCTGCTTTCATAAACACCATGTGTCAGCCTAGCTTTGCTTTGCGTTGCTTCAGGCTGGGAAACTGGCTGGCTCCCAAAGGTTTCAGAATTCAGTTTCTATTTCCTCTTCTGGCTGATTTTAAGTCAGTTTCACTTTCCAGTTTCCTCTTCTCTTACATAAACACAAATCCTTAGAAACAGGAGAGCGTCCGCTGGTTCTTTTCTCCCTTGACCGGCCCTTTATATAGTCCTCTCAGTGTCCCGCTGAGGCAGACTGAGATTTCTGAACCACTCAGCCCACACCCAGCTTTTCCCCAGCAGCAGAGAAGCAGGTCGTCATCATGAGGTCAGTGCAATCTCTGGTTCTCCACAGTAGATGATGTACGGCGCTGCTCTCTGCATGGGAGTTTCTGAAGTTGTCTGATTGCTGATAGATTCAACACACCTGAATTAGCATGGCTTTTGGAGGGCATGTGCAAGACCCTGCCATTTCTAAAGCTGCTCACTGGATGGCACTAATTCCTGAGCTAGGAGAGGGGCTATAAAATGTAGTTGGATTTACTCAAGGGACAAAATATGACTCAGTGCTAGTACTAATGCAATTGCTCTTGCTGAATTTTCCTCTTGATATTATTGAAAGAGACTGATCAAGTCACGGGAAGCTCCGTGTGTGTGTGTGTGTGTGTGTGTGTGTGTGTGTGTGGTCAAAGGAAGCCTTCCTTTTTTAGAAGGTAGTGTAGTAAATCCCGGTCTCTGGCCTCCATCTTTGAAAACCTGGCTTCTGTGCCCCTTGCATCTAGACCCTCCCTGAGAGGGTCAAGGTAGGCTGCCTGCCAAATTTTGACCACTCCCCAGAAAAGGTCAAGACCACTCCCCCAGGCTACTTAAACTACTCCCCAAAAATAAACACATGGTTTTTCCTTTTTCTCCCTGGTGGTCACATTATGGCTTTCCAGTTCTCCTCGGGGCCATCCAAGAGCACTGGAGCCCAATTAAACCAGAACATCTTTTAATTTGGTTTGTTTTGATTTGGCTTGATTGGGATTTTTTTGTCAGCAGAGAGATCGTGTTAGGAAATACTCTTAACAGGCAGTATGAGAGTTGGATTTAGTACTGCCAATTCAACTCAAGGTGCTGAAATGTTTGATCACTTCAGGATTGAGGCAGAAGAAATAATTCTTACAGATAAACAGGGTTTTTAATTTTGGGGTTTTTAAAATTCTTTTTTATATAAAACCAAGCCTCAATGTTTAAAGTTTTTTTTTTTCTGCTGTGAAATGCTGGTGGGCAGGAGAAAACAATTCTCCCTCAAAAATATAAACTGCTGAATTTCTAGTTACAGGAAGCAGAACAATGGTGCCTAGAGGTGATAGTGATAGAGTATGAAGTCCACACGGGCATCCTATGGGACCTCTGAAGTAACCTATAAGGGGTCTAGGTGGGTACATAGGCATTCACAATTGTTGAGACTCAGCAAGTGCATTAGACTGTAAGAAAAGAGAAATCATAGCAAATGTGATTTTCTTAAATGTAACTACACCTACTGAGGTTCTGCCATTGACAGAGCCTCAAAGAGAATTAAGAAAATGGTATCTTTCCTACCAAATACCTATCAGGGAAGGATTGTGGCATCACTGGCCCAGGGAAGGCAGATGCTACTAATTACTCTGAAGGAAAGAAAAAAAGACAGTCATCCCTGGCCTAACCCCAAGGGTTACAAATATTTAACAAAGTCAGAGTTGGAATTACAGTTCTAATTACTCGGGGTTAGTCCTAATTGGCCTGGGAGACGACTGGGATTAGTGGTGAGTATGACTGACCAGAAAGCCAAGATCTGCCCAGAACCTTAGTGGCTAGCCTGCACAAGGGGCTTTGCTGTGGTTTTGTGCTTGGGAATTTCCAGAGTCGCCAATCTAAGCAGGTCTGAGAACTTTAGACCACACTGATCAGAAGTCGACATCATTGAATTCTGTGAGGACAGAGGCAGCTTGAGCTGCTCTTCCTAGCAATGTTTAAAATCACAACATGGGGTAAAGAAAGGACCTAGAAAGGCACCTGGTACCTTCTGGGTAGACTTTGCAGGAGGCAAAGTCGCATGAAAAGCTCTTGTTCTATGTAGAGCTTTGGTAGCTGTGGTCTTTCAGTGTGTAGAGATTAAATGTGTATTTGTCCAACTTTCTCATAACCTGTCTCACAATGTGTGCATTGTGTCTGTGCCTCTGTATTGGTTACTTGGCTTGGTCCACTCTTCAGCAATAGAGATTTACCTCCCACCTTCGTGGGGCAATCAAGAGCGACAGAGTAGCGCTATCATGTTCTGGGATTCTCTTAGACAATTCTAACCAAAAACTCAAAGGGGGTTTCTCATGCCTGGTATTGGGATTTTGTTTGTCTATGGCTCTTGGTGAGGGGAGGAAATATTATGAGGCCAAATGGGAAATTTTTATTTAAACTATGTATGTATATATTGACTTATAAGTACTATAGGCATTTTAGTTAGATAGTTGATAGTATGATCCCTTATGAGTTTTTCAGATGTCCTTCTTATATTTTACCCCCGTTTCTCCCCTGTATTCTTTAAGATTCAGTAGAGTCTATATTCAAGGCTTCTTTATCTTGTCCCTCTTAAGCCTATGTAAGTCAGTTCTGCTGTGTTCTGATTTCATACAAACATAGAATATGGGTCTTAATGTCACAAACAAAATACACTAAAAAATTCTGTGATATTAGCAGATTTTATTGAATTTTATAGGTTTATAAAATAAAGATAATATCACACAACTCTCAATAATCTAAGCAGTGTCATGTAGCGATTTATGCCGATTTTAGTTTGCCTATTCCAAATAGGTACTCCTTTACTCTGTCATCCCCAAATACTTTGAAAGTTTCCTTAGCCGTACACAAATGCCTAGAATTTAGACCTCATACATCTACCACTGATGCATGATTAAATGAAAGCTGAGGGTCAGAAATTGGGGTTCAACCTGAAGACCTGAAAAGCAAAACAGCCAGTCGCTGGCTTTTACCTCGACCTCAATTTGAAATAATGATTTTTGCTTCCTGGAATCTCAGAAGGAGACTGCGTTAGAGCTGTGTCGTCGATTCTTATATTCCTCTCTAGGGCTGAGGTCAAAGGCAAGGCACACTGGGATTAATGGCATGCACCACCCACTTTCTATGGCAACTAGTGTGGCTACTGGGATTGAAGGTCTGTGTCATTATGGCTACTGAGATCAAAGGTGTGTGCTGCCATAATCTGGTCTGAAAGGCTAATCAGTGGGACTGCTTTACTCTCAGATCTTCAGGCAGTCATTATTTACTAAAATACAATTAAAATCCACTACACACCACAACTGTCTGAGATATAAATTTGATATAGAAGGTTGTGTTGATTATAAATTTGAGCTCATTGACCAGCAGGCTATGGCTATCATGGGGCCTGTAGGAACAGAACTACGAACTGGATCGTCACTATAGGGGAATCCCGAATTCCTCCCTTTTTAGTGCTCATCCTTGCTCATTTAATTTGCTCTCACATATTGCTGAATGTCCAAGATTCCTCAAGCATGAAAAATAAGCCTTCTTTGGTAAGGCTTCTTGATCAGGGTACTCGAAGGCTGAGGGTGTAGGTCATGGACTCCAAAGGCACACTCATAGCGAAAGTGGTTCTTGTTGGTCCAGCAGCTCACAGGTGTTTAGAAGAGCAGGAATCAACTATGGTCAGGGAGTGCAGCAAAGTGTGATAGGAGGATGGAAGCGCCTATCACAGACAGGGCTCCAAGAAGAAAACAAACCCTACCAACTAAATAAACAAAACCAAACAAAAACAGGCCTGCAGAAAGGCAGAATACAAAGAAATCATCTTAACTTGCTTCATCTGGTTCTGCGTATTTAAGGCAACAGCTACACACACACACACACACACACACAAAGGAGAATAATGAGCTTGGAGAAGGCTTAATAAGTTACTTGGTGAGCTGTTCTTTAAAACTCAGGATTCAATGTGTCCGTGAGTCTCAGGGCCTGCTCGTAGTATTCCAGAGCCTCGCTTGTGTCCCCTCTGAGTCTGTAGACAAACCCAAGAAGGCCGAAGCCTTCCACAACATGAAAATTCCGGCGAATGCGTCTTTCAGCCAGGTTCTGCAAAGCCTTGAGAAGCTTGTCTTTGGTGTAGGAAGAAGTTACTTCTATTTTCAAACCCTTTATGTAATGGGTGATTGCTGTTTCTTCTGATCTCATATTGTAAAGTTGGAAACGACCATAGCGGAAATGGATGTCCTGCTGTATGGTAGCATCAATGCCCCTCATGCTCAATGCTTTCTGAAAATTCTCATCTGCCTCTTCTAATTGGCCATTTTCTATGTACATTTCAGCCAGATGAACGTAAGCTGCCTCATATGTGGGTTTCAGTTCTAAAGTCTTTTTGAAGTGAGCCATAGCCAAACGGATCAATTGGTCTGCTATTCTTCTATCCTGACCTCTAGGCTGCATGTTTGTAGCTTCCTTTATTTGGATCAGTTGTCTCTTGTAGCAACGTCCAGTCTCGTAATTCAAGAAGGCTGAGTAAGGTTTTGCCTGCAGGGCTAAATGAAGGAAGTGAAGAGCTTTCTCCACAATACCTTTCCATCGGTAAAATTTGGCCAAATATCCCAAGACATAGGTCTGGGAAGATATGTTAGCCTGAGCTTCTTCAGCGTATCTTGCTGCTTCATCTGATTCTCCCAAGTTGTGCAGCTTTAGGGCAAGGAGAACTTTAATGTATGGATCCGCTGGATTTAACCTGACAGCCTTCTTCAGGGGTTCCAGAGAAATACTACTGTCATTGAAATCCTGGCGATAGGCGGCGACAGCATAGCCGATGCTGTATTCGGGGTTTTCAGAATCAGCATCCAGAGCTTTTGCAAAGCAGGCCATGGCTCGTCTATAATTCTGTTTTCCACACTTTAGCAAGGCCCAGCCTTCCTCAGAGTCCATCTCGGCACACTCCATTCTGTAGCGGAACGGACTTGCAAATTCCTTGCAAGTATTCTCCACCTTGTCCAGGTAGCTCTGGGCTTCTGCCAAGCTGCCCATGTGGTAATGCACCCAGGCACAGTTGCCCCAGGTCACCAGGCTTCTCTTGCCCAGTGGCTCTTCCTGGATCAAGTCTTCTGCTTCTTTCAGGCTCTGCAGGGCTTCCTCATGCTGGCCTTTCCGGTGCCTCACGTAGGCCAGGAGGTTGAGCATCGTTATGCTGTGGTTGGGGTCAGGTAAATCTTCATCAACGATTCTCCTTTCCAAATCAGGCATGTCCGCATCTTCTATTACCAACCTCCAAGTAAAGTGACAGCTCAGCTCAAGCAGGCTGTTGTGGATGAGAGTTCTATGAGGTTCTTCACTGTAAAAACAGAGCCCAGTTACTGATATTTTTTTACACACTCTGTATCCTCGAAATCAAGCCAGCTCTATAAGTTGCCAAACACCTTCTCTCCCGACATTCCTGCTGCCAGTTTTTATTCCTCCTGTGTGTTTATTTCTCTTATCATAGGGAGTAATTTTACATAACAATTTGAAAAATACAACTCACTTAATGGTACTAGTATTTGATTACAAAATGTCTAAAGTTCAATCCAAATAATAATATCGTTACTATCAGTAGGATTCAACCCCTGTATTGGTTGGTTTTATGCCATCTTGACTTCTAAACTAGAGTCATTAATGAAGTGGGGTTCTCGATTGAGAAAATGCTCCCATTAAGATTGGCCAAGTAGGCTAGCCCATGAGACATCATCTTAGTAGGTGACTGATGTGGGAAGGACCAGCCTGTTATGGGTGGTGCCATCTTTGGGCAGATTGTTCCAGGTTGTATAAGCAATCGACTGAGCAAGCCATGAGGAGCAAGCCTGTAAGCAGCATTCCTCCATGGCTTCTGCTTCGTTTCCTGCCTACAAGTTCCTTTCTTGATTTCCCCCTCTGACTTCTTCTCATGATGAATTACAGCTGTAAAACGAAATAAACTCTTTCCCCACTGAGGTAGCTTTTTGCCATAGTCTTTACCACAGCAGTGGAAACCCTAACCGAGATAGCTATGAGACCTAAGGCTCAGAGAATGTAAGGAAAGGGTGATCTGAACTTCCAGTTTTGACAAGGATGCTTTCTACTCATACAGTCTCAACAATGAGCTTGCGTAAACATGACTTGCATAATTATTGCATCAGTTGGTTGACATGACTTTAGAGTTGGGAAACGTTTCACAAGACCCCGGTCCTAGATAAAGAAGTACAGGTAGTCAGTGACGGCCGAGGGAGAAAGAAACCGTTTTCTCTAGATACAAGCCTTTTGATAGGCTATCCAATTCCAAGTGATCACCGGTATTAAATTCACTCAGGAGAGAGAGAGAGAGAGAGAGAGAGGTGTTTATTGGATTTACCGTACACAAGAGAATTGTATTTATACCAGATGCCATTAATTGCCAAGTAAAAAGCTTTGTGCCAGGAGGGTGACACCATCCTTCATGCTGTTGGTCAGAGGTACTTTAGAGACCCCCAAGATAATACAGGGTATTGTCATTATTCTTGATTGTTCACCATTACTTGGCAATAGGACGCTATTGCTGAGGACACCCCCATACATCGGCACAGGACCCGGGGAAATCAAGTCAGTACTGCCGAGGAGGTTTCTCCCTTGCTGACGAGTTCTCACAGTCCTGGAAGGTACTGTTCAGGCTACTGGAGGTGGAGGAGTTACCAACAGTTACCCAGTTATGAGCCCTGTGAACTGCAAGAATGACCAGTGTGGCAAGATATGGTCACCAATACCAGGGTGGCATGGATGCTATGGAACAAATAGTCACTTTCTGATTGGATCTGAGGTCCAGTTCACAGGAGGAGACACATGCCAGGTACTGCAAGTCTGGCCAAGAATCCGTGGTTTACAGGCCCCAGGGATGGTCTTACTACTAATATTTTGCCAAAATGAACATAATATCAAACTTCCCTCTAATAATTTATTTTATATTATGCTTTAGATAGTTTTGCCTGGATGTATATATGTACCACATGCTTGCCCGGTGTCTAAGGAGGGATGAAGAAGAGATTAAATCCTTTAGAACAAGAACTACAAATAGTTGTTAGCTGCCATATGGGTGAGACAACTGCCCTCTAAATTGTTGTCTCTCTACCCATAGATTTGTGCAACTTTCAGGCCTCATCAAAGTACTGTCCTTCTTCCAGTGAACAGTTACTGCTATAGAAATTCACAACTAATCAAAGTGTTAAGAATAAGTATTATTGGAGTGTTCAGCCATAACTACAAGATCTATATCACAGCCCCTCCCCAAAGACTCAGGAATATCTCATAAGAGGGGATTAAAAGATAAGAGCCAACAGTTGTGACGGATTGGAGCTAATCACTGTCTGAATATGGCAGGACCACTGCTCTCAAGAACTCAGCTATGGGCGCCCAAACAAGATCTGCACTATATCAAGACAGTCATCATTCTAACCTGGAATAGGAGTGGGCTTTATAAATCGGAGCATGGGGGTCTGGTGCCAGCCCGGACCATACATTATTCCTCTGGACCAGAGGGAAGGTGTGGGATTAAAGACACAATTCACATGGCTTTCTTGAGAGGGAGTTTTTCAGTGTTCCCTCATGAAATCCTGAGTTCACATCCTGAAAATTCCTCTGCATTTATTCTCCAAACAGCCTTCTATGCCAAAACATAAACTGAGGGGGAAATTTATTAGCATTGTTTCCTGGGTAACCAGGTGAATCTACCTATGCCTGTTCTGTCACATCTTTCTGCTCTATATGCCAGCTAACATCTCTTTTCAGGAATCCTCCAAATTACAAAGAAGGCGCAGAACAACATCCTGACAGCCTGTTAGGGATGGCGACAGGCTAGGTGACCACCTCCTGCGCAGCAGGTGTAAACTGTGCCCTGAGATTCTGGTCACCATACCACGTAGAAATATGGGCCTACATCAGAGCATCCCAGGCTGAAGGTTCCCGAATTTCCAAGCCTTGAATCTAGTGTCTCAGTTGTAGCACTGGATGCCTCAGACATCCAGATGGCCGAGCCTACTCTGGAGTTTCAGAGTGACCAGTTCTGGAGTGGTGGAATCTCGGAACTTGTGTTTCCAATAAGTACCCAGTTGACAGTGACATTGGCAGCCACATAAGCTTAATCTTAGCATAGCGAATGTAGTGAAAATATATTTTAGATTAATGTCATTTTCATATTTTCTTGTAATTATCAAATGCTGGAAGTAGAGAGATGGCTCAGTAATTAGTAACACTTACTATTCTTGTTGAGGACCTGGCTCAGTTCCCAGCACCTACATCAGGTGACCTGTAACTCAGTTCTAGGGACTCTAATGGCCTCTGGCCTCTGTGGGCACCTGCAGGCAGGTGATACACACAAACTCCTGCAGGCAAACACACATACATATAAATTAAATATATATGCATATATATTTACTTTAAATTAAAATTGGCTTCTCCTTTCCACTAGGATTCAATGTAATTATCAAATTACAACCTGCTTCGTCTCCTTCCCCCAAGGCTCTGCAGTCATCATCCTCATATGTCTGCTTGCCAGTCTTCACGCAGGCTCAGGCCTCCATCCTTTCATGGGCAGTCTGTAAGTGTCCCCTTGGGAAATTGCCACTGAGGTAAAAAAAAAAAAATCCTACAGAGTGGCATCTCCTTTGAAATAGAAAGTCTTTCTTATTTATTTCCTCAAGAGCAATGTTGCCTTTTTCAAGCAGACTGCTACAGGTGGGAAACCCACCTCACCTTTCTGGACCACTGCCCTCCGTTCTTTATCTCCTATGTGGACTTCTTAATCTAGATCTCTTGGACGTTTTCACTTTCTTGTGGCTTCAGTGGCTTGGTTGCACCACTCAGGAACTAGGGTGCCAGGAAAGGGCAAGGGCTTGATCCTTCCTGTGAGCTCCCAGCAAGCTGGCCTTTAAATTAGTGGTGGTTGAGTTCTTCACCAAGACTCTCAAGAAGCCCGTCCTGAAAGCTATCGCTAAGGACCATTCCAGATCTACCGACTCTCCCTCCCTGTGCCCCCAGAGACCTGTGGTTATCAGGCTATCACTGCTGTTCTCTTCTATCCACACCTTCCCCAGTGGCCAGACTGACACCTCTCAGCATCAGGACCATGAGCAGGACGGCTCTGTTAGGAGAAAGCATCCTAGGAACCAGTCATCAGAGGCTCTATATTTTAGATTGTCAATATGTACAGAAATAGGTTGAGCAGAGCACAGGAAGTCTTTACCTCATGTTGCTTGGAGATGGCTCCGTAGTACTTGGATTCAGGCCAAGAGTCTCTTCCAGATTTCACGAGGTTCTAAGGGTTCTCAGATCAGCGAGGTATTTATATTTAGGAGGATTACTAGGCAGTTTTTCACACACCCCATGACCTAAACGAAACTGGCAAGGTTACAGCTTATGGAAAAGAAAACGTAAAGAGAACTGTTTTTGCTTTGATAATAAAGACATGCTTGATTGAGGAAGCCAACAAGATTTTTGTTAGAAGCCATGTTTGTGTTGGGTTCCATGTAGACTTTGTGTCAGGATGTTTTACATCCGGTGTTGGAGCAAAAAGAATAGAGGCAAGGATGACTTTTTTTCATGTAACACATCAGACTATTTTGTTACTACTACGTACACCCAAGGGGGCATTTTAGGGTGCATGTTTTGTGCATAACAGAAAGCTGGAGAGAGCATTTGTGGCAGAATGAGATTACAGATGGTTGATTTAGATATTGTCCTGAAAACAACAAAGTCCATGCTATTTATATCCTCCTGTGAAATTCCTACCCCTGTCCACTTAGAATACAATGACCTTATCAGTGGCCTAAACAACCTATTTGAATTGGCCAGTGGAGCAGGAGATCAGTAAGTAGCAAGGAGTAAAATCAGCAGGCTGTGATGGGCAACTGCAGTCTAGAGTATCCAGGCAAGTGAGGATGTTAGTATCTAGTTCCAGATCCACACAGTTCTTTTGAGTTAGCCTCATAGTTTTTAAGCTGTTTTACTGGGTCCCGTGAGAGTCAATGCTACATTTTAAGTTTTAATTACTATCTATGCCTTAGAGATCCATGAAGCAAAAATGCCTCTGATCTCCAAGCCTCTTGCTCAGGGACACATAGCTCCTGAAGTGCTGGAGGCTCTTGCTTGTGGAAGATAACCAGCCACGTGTTTTCACTCTCCTAAACACGTTCCCGTGACCCATTTGCACCAGATGTGCTTGATCACGTGTGGGTGGAAGCTTCACAGGCAGGAAATATGTCAGGATACAAGCTTGCCCCTGACGGGATGCAGGCTGGAGGTACATCAGTATACATGCTTGCCCCTGATGGGATGCAGGCTGGAGGTAAATCAGTGTACACACTTGCCCCTGATTGAACCTGATGGGTATTGCAAAGAATTATGGGTTTTCCTTCTTAAGAGAATGCAAACATGACTCGGGACCATTTCCCGGAAACCTGGGTATCCACTTGGCCAGTATTTAATTAAGGCTTACTTCAAATTTGGCTTTAAACTGTGGTTGTGGTCTTATTCTCCATCAGTGGAATTAACAGTCCCCTGCTATGACATCCCCCAAAAACCCGCACATAGTGTCCCTCAAACGCAACATCAAAATTTTCTGAGACTAAGGCTGGTATATCCATCCAACTAGCAGGGGAAGAGAAAACGTTGAAAAGCTATGGTTCTGAAGCTCCCTTGTGACGTGTTCCCTATCTGGCTTTTGGAGGCAGCAGCCTAGTCAGATAAGCAAAGCGGTAAGCAAGGACCGAGAGCAGTTTCCAGCTGTGCATTACAAGATAAGGTTATTGACATCTCTCTAGTCCACAGTAAACTGCTGTGCATAGACACACAGATGCTGAGTTGCCCTGAGCCTTCAAATAGACTGTCTTCTCCAGACTCCCTACTGGTGAATAAGGTATGGTCATGTATCCGAGTTTGGATCCGCTGGAGACATCTTTTCCTGAGGACTTTCTCTTTCTTCCCCAGCTCTCACATAACGTGGGATATGAATGTGTTTTGCTCTCCCTTTCCTGTATGCACACCTGATTGTACTGAGACCAAGGGCTGACTGGAGACACTGTACCCAGGGGCATTACTGAACTTTGCTGCTAACTGAATATCGCATCTTGGCTTCTTTGGTTGACATTTCCATGTCAGAGTTACTCACTTGTTAATCCAAATAGTAACAGGACTTCCCTTCTGGGGCTATGGGGAGATCAAGTGGGGAACAGTGCCAGTTGACTAAGAACTTTCAGGAATTGTGAGCATTGTTTTTAACATAGGACCAGTCTCCCCTGCAGTCCAATCTTTACTAAACATCAGCTAGAAGCCTTCCTCATGGCAATTGCCCATCAGACAGTGAGAGAATTGCCTCAGGAAGCATCCCTGTGCAGATGCTAAACTTCAGTTCTGAGCTTTAAACTGAGGCAGTGTAGATTGTTCCACTTTCTGGCTCAGGTTTAAAAGCCCTGGAGACAGTCGAACACAGAATTTATAATGCCTCTGTAGCACGGGTACTTGGCTGATCCCAGTAGTGGCAGGGCCGGAGTGACAAGAGACTTCTGAAAGGGGGGCTACTTTCTTCTTCTAGGGATTCATCTAAAAAGACAAATGATCTTTGAGGCGCAAATATTTTCTTCAATGTAGTTTCTTCAAACTAGCCTTTGCCCAGCTTGAGAAAGAAGAGATAGAAACACGAGCAAAGACTGACGTGAACACGAGGAAGGTGGCTTACATGGCGATCAGCATGACTTCAAAATTTTTGTGCACAAAACGATTGCTTAGTAACTTCTGGGGAAACAGAACAAGTGCATCACGTGGTTAGCATGAATTTGGCAATGGGCCAGGTCCGGTGAGACTCTGGGTCAGCAGATTAGGTCTTCAGAATCTTGGCCAGTGTGTCTTTGGCGTAAACAGATTCACAAAGCACACCGTGGGGACGTCAATATTTGGAAGAAAAATCCTACCGAGCATAGGATGAGCACATGTGTGTGTGTGGTGCAAATAGATGTGCGTTTGTGTTTGCTCTTAGGAAGAAAAAAAACAACAAACACTAGAGAGAGGCTTACTTTTGAAGACTGGGCACTTTGTATGCAGCTTTGTCTTTCTCCCCACCGTTCTACCCATCCATCCACATGTCCTGACGAGTCTCTGTTTAAAGGAAAGCTCTGTGTGCTTGTGCCTTCTTAGGAAGTTTTATTTAGTGGAGAATATGTCCCAAAGTAACAGATGGCAGCTAAGAGCATAGGTCTTCTACTCAGGGAACCTTTCACAAAATTTCTTGGAAAACCTTCTATTCGCCACAACACATGCTCTGTGACGGCCTGATAGTCCTGCCTCTTTCAACTGTTTCTTCTTTTTTCAACTATAAAAAAAAACATAACTTTATTTTAATGAATTCACAAATAAGACCACTATACAGCTGGCATAAAGAAGCCACTCAGACGCTTGTCCAGTCTCAGCCTCTGCCTCCCAGGGAACATCTATGTAGTTAGGATGGCCATTCTGAAGCCAGGGAGCTTCACTTCGGGTTTTACACTTTTGCTGTCAGTTATTGCTGTTATACATTTATCTACCACAAAAAAGAAAGGAAGCAAAAGCTTTGAAAGAGTTAAAATGAAAACCAATAAGCTTTGTACTTTCTTTCATGACTCGTGGAATATGGAGTTCCCTGGGTATACTCCCATGGCTATCAGGTAGGATATGGAGTTCTCTTGGTACACTCCCATGGCTATGAGGTAGGATATGGAGTCCTCTGGGTATATTCCCATGGCTATCAGGTAGTTCTGTTTTGAATTCTTTTTGAGGCACTCAGCGACTGATTTCCTGAATAGCTGTTTTAGTTTGCACGCCCACCAGTAGTGAAGAAGTATTCCTCTCTCACCCTCTCCAGCATTTGTTGCTAGATTTCTTGATCTCACCATTCTGACTGGTGCGAGGTACTACCTCAAAGCAGTTTTACGTGCATATTTTGAGGACTAGGGATGTTGTACAATTTTAAAACTAGTTTTTTTTTTTTTCATCTTCTTCTGTAAACCACCCGTTTGCTTCATTAGCCCAATTGCTCATGGGGTGATTTTGTTTCCTTCGTATTTGATCTCTGTAATGTTTTGCAAATTTTGGATACTGGCCCCAGGTCTGAAGTATAGCAGTAAAATATTTCTTCCATTGTGTGAGCTGTTTGTGTGATCTGCTAATGGCTTCCTTTGCTGGGCAGAAGCTTTGAAATTCTGTGAAGTTCCATCTGTTGACGCTTGGGACTGAGTCCTGTGCTACTGGAGCTCTGTTCAGGAAGTTCTTGCCTAACCTGAAGTCTTGATAAGGATCACCCATGATTCCCCCCAGGAGTTTCAGTATTTTGTGCTTAAATTAAGGTCTTAGATCCATTGCAAATTATTTTTGTGCGAGATGAAAGATGTAGATCTCATTTCATTTTTCTGCGGGAAATATCATATAGCCCTGGATGTCTTGGAATTTGCTTTGTAGACCACGTTCACCTCAAAGTCAGAGATCTTTCTACCTCTGCCTCCTGAGGGCTGGAATTAAAGGCATGTGTGACCATGCTCAGCATTTTGATAATCTTTAACAAGGAGTTTTCTGAACTCAGATCAGTGGCCTCATTCTTATGGGTGGTTGCCCTCTGTCATCTTCTCCTGGTTGCCTAGAATGAAAAGACCCTACAGGTGATCTAACCATCATCAGGTAGAATGGGCACAGTCTAACAGGCACTAAATCTAGAGGTTTACAGAGAGAAGATTTGGCTTGTGGGCTGCTTTTCTCAGACTAGCGACTTCTTTTTAAAGGAGACAGCTGAGTCTCCAATTTACATGGGAGAATGTGACTCATCTGATCCATTATGTATGATGTCTCTTCGTTGTTGTTGTTGTTGTTCTGCAGTGTATTAAAGAACTGCTGTGATTCAGATCCCTGACCCCGCCAAGTTCAGGTGTCCCTATGATATAGCAGTTGAGCATCTGTAATGTAATTGGCAGAGCTCTCATGAAGGGTTTCATCCACTCCTGGATTAAGGGATTGTGAGTTATAAAAGGAATGGGCTATTTATCAGGAAAATGAGCCCATTACAAAAGCCAGGCACGCCACCTCACCATGTCATGCTATGCACTGCCAGTAACCCCAACACTGGAGAGGCAAAGACAGGCAGATCCTGGCAGCTGCTGACTCAGCAATCGCTGAGCTGAACAAGTGACCTTGACAGTTCAGTGAGAGACTTTGTCTTAAAATAATAATAAGGTGGACAGCCAGTAGGATGGATTAGTGGGTAAAACGGCCTGCCAAGCAAGGAGAAAACACACTCTACAAAGTTGCCCTCCCATATTCTGAAAGGCACTATAGTTCTGCCCACAGCATACACAATGTGCATACAACACACACACACACACACACACACACACACACACACACGATGGTGATAGTGATGATGATGATGAGGAGGAGGAGTTTTTTTGACTTTCTTTTTATTTTTTTTATTGAGCTCTTCATTTTTCTCTGCTCCCTCCCTGCCCCTCCCTCCCCTCCCCTCCCCTCCCCTCCCCTCCCCTCCCCTCCTCTCCTTTCCTCTTCCTCAACCCTCCCCCATGGTCCCCATGCTCCCAATTTACTCAGGAGATCTTTTTCTTTGTAGACTAGATCCATGCATGTCTCTCTTAGGGTCGTCGTTATTGTATAGGTTCTCTGAGATTGTATTTCTAGACTGGTTTTCTTTGCTTTATGTTTAAAAACCACTTATGAGTGAGTACATATGATAATTGTCTTTCACGGTCTGGGTTACCTCACTCAACATGTTTTCTAGCTTTATCCATTTGCCTGCAAATTTCAAGATGTCGTTATTTTTTCTGCTGTGTAGTACTCCATTGTGAAAATGCACCACATTTTCCTTATCCATTCTTCAGTCGAGGGGCGTTTAGGTTGTTTCCAGGTTCTGGCTATGACAAACAATGTTGCTATGAACATGGTTGAGCACATATCCTTTTGGCACAATTGAGCATTCTTTGGGTATATACCCAAAAGTGGTATTGCTGGGTCTTGAGGAAGGTTGTTCCCTAATTTTTGATGCCACACTGATATCCAAAGGGGCTGCATCAGTGTGCATTCCCACCAGCAATGCAGAGTGTTCCCTTAACCCCACAATCTCTCCAGCATAAGTTGTCATCAGTGTTTTTGATCTTGGCCATTCTTACAGGTGTAAGATGGAA